TTTCAAATATCAACCACGGCATGGTGGGATGAAAATATTTTGTTGCCTTTTGTGATAAGACAATGTGGTCCGGAAATTTCTGGTGATAAGCTTTGATAATTTGTTTGCAGTTTCTGACTTGGACAAGAACTTGAATTTCAAATCTTATTTTTCACACTGGAATAAAAAAAAACATAATTGAATAAATGTAATATGTAGGTTCCTATTGGCTGGACACAGGGAGACATGCAGTCATGTTCTGCAATTCTTTCTTCTTCTTTTTTTCATTGTTGAACCGGTGCAGAAAAAATATTTAAAAGATTATTTGATTATTAGAGTTGTTCTAAATTATTATTATGATTACAAATACATTGTGCATGCCACACAATAAAGATTGGTGTTTGAGAATTGCTTTTTCCTTTGATTGGTATGGCTCAGTGTACATCTAAATATAATATAATGTTTATTAATATTCGTCCTAAGTTGTATTGCTCTGAAGGAGCTGAATTATTTGAAACCTTCCTGCAGGCCAGGCCTCCTGCAGAGCCCCTGTAGGAAGGTGTACCGCGGCTGCCCTCTAACCTCTCCATATTCCTGCTCTCAGTTCAGTAGCTGTGGCCCAGCGCCCGTCTGTTCTGACAGCGTGTTAACAATACTGCAAAAGGCCCCAAAGAAATGTCTTGGATTAGCGGTCACATTTCCCATTTCCCAGAGACGCACAAGGTCCTGAACCCAATTAATGACTAATAATTACCAGGGCCACTTCTCTATGACCGCTTCTGGGGCTTCATTAGAAGAAATAACTTCAAACCAAGACTCTAGAAAGAAAAACAAAGGATTTTTGTGACTGATTAGCTGCTTCGCGAATCTTTCCAAATTATTTTGCGTAAAACATTACATCACAGTTATCATATTTATCATATGTGAAGTGTATGTCATCATCCCTCTAGCCCACAGCCGGTCACATCATACCGAGGAGGTGCGTTTAGGCCTTGTGCGTAAATTGGAGCTCCCTGTCTCAGCTAGTTATCGTGTTTACTCTCCCATTACATCAACTGTGCCAGAATTACAGTTAGCAAATTTACAATGCTCGCAGTGCCCACAAAAAAGGCCCACTGTGGCTTTTTGATGCCTCCCCCCCCCCCCCCCTCAGTTCGCCTCATCCGCGGGCCGTACCGCGAGGTGCTCCGTTTCACGTATCTAATGTGCGCCGATGTTATCTGCGCGTATAACGTCTAATCCAGAGAGCCGGGGCCGTTTTCACCGCCGATAAAGCTCTGGTTTCAGCGGCCGGTGCGTCCGTGTGCGTGGTGCATGTGTCGAAGGGGGGAGTGGGGGAGTGGGAGGTACAGTCGCTGCAATCTGACCACACCAGTCCACGGCGCACCCCGCCTCAGCCGGCACACGCACGCACCTATCACCAGTGCGCGCGCTCACACAGCATTGTACGTTTTTTTTTTCAAATCAATCATTTCAATCTGGCTGCCATGAGATTTGTAAAAGAAATAATTGTCCGTGCGTCTGAAGCGTCCAGAGCTGCATTTGTTGCGTATTGGTTGCAACTGGGCGAGTTTTCAGAGAGATATTTGTTATTGAGGACGCAGTTTGGGTTGAGGTTGGCTTGTTTTGGCTGCAGGATGGTACAGTGGGGATTGGAGGTCTGTCAGGTTGCGTGAAGACGTCATCGCTTCATGAAAATCATTACCCAAATGTGTCTTCACGTTATGGAATTCGCTCACACTTTGCCTACATGTAAAATAAAAGCCCTGCCTCGTGCTGCCCGTAGAGTTCCCGGTCTGGGAAACCCATAGTGCGCAGGGGATTGAGCTGTGTTCCACAGCTAAAAGGAAAGTAGCCAAATAAAAATGTTGGGATAAAAAAAAAATCTTAAATTGGGCTTAGCTCTAAATTTGCCGGCTAATGTTTATATCTATTTGTTATTACTTTCATTAGATAATGATCTATTCTGCTTCTTTTTATTCTAAATAGATGGATTAGTAAAAATGGTAAATTGTGTACAACTGACTGTAGTTTTGCACTTTCTCTTTTGGGGACAGACCCAGTCAAGGTCTTTCTCGCCTTTGCGCATCTCTCCAGACTCAAAAAGAAAAGGGGAAAAAAGGCAACACGCGAGGTTTCCCCTCACAGCCTTTTCTACATTTCAACCAACTCTTTAAAGGTCGACATATAAATGGCACAGAAAAGTAATCCCCAACGGGCCTTCGTTGGACAGCAGCACTTTTCCTCGCGAGCGTAATCACAGTTAATTGCTCCTTTTAAAAGGTGTTGCACCATGTGAAATCATTTGTCCGACCCAATGAGGAGCAGGAAATATTCAGAGGCCTCAACTGGTTTGGTCGGTTAATGGAAATAATTCAGACAAATGGAGAGAGAGAGAGAGAAAAAAAAAAGTTCTGCTGGTGTCTTTTTTCCTGCTTTCTTCTCGGACGAAGAGGGCATCAATAGAGCCGGTCGATTAAGACAATGGATTATTGATAGCCTGTCGCCACGCTCCAGCAGTTTCCTCAGTCACCAAATGCAATAAACAAAACCTTTGCACATAACGTTTTTCACCTAGTCCAAATATTCTTTGAATATCGACTGTGTTAGAGTTTTTCTCCTGCGCAGGCTGTGGCGCGTGTGTGGCTTTTGTCTATTAAAAGAAAGCCTCGTCAAGTTATCCCTACTTTTACACAGGCCTACAAATAAAAATGTTAAGTGTATAACAAGTCGGTCACCCCACGTGCCCTTCCTCACACCCCTCACTCTGGTAGAAGAAAAAACACTTTTCACATGCTTCCGTGCTTCAGTCCGTTGGAATAACAGCCAAACTAATGTGTGCTAATTACTGCTGATTATTATTGACTAATGATCGTGTCATATATATTTCACTTTGTGTCTCGGGAGAAAGTCCCTGGGTGATTTCTCTCCGATACAGACTGGACACGTGTTTGATGAGCTCAAGCCTTTATTCAAATCTATAGTTTCACGTGCATCCGAATGAGAGAAGCAGAAATTCAAGCATGAAGCAAGAAACCCGAAGAAATGTCTGGCAGACTGCCGGAAAAAAGGAAAATAATTACGGGTATAACAATAACAATTATAATAATAATATTAATAATAATACAAATTACTTACACATTCTAATGAAACCGTCATAATAATCATAATAATAGCGACCCTATGTCCCTATATTTGAAAATATCTCTAGGAAATACGGTGTAATCCAAGCAACTGATCCCTCCTGCTGTCCCAGCAGACTGCAGTTGCTCCATCACCACCAATCTTTAATAGGCTCCAGCATAGAGCCGCCTTTATGCAGCTAAACTAGACGGAAACCATTCCCATATGACATGAGGGCTAAAGGCCCAGACACCACATGAATATAACGACCAGCCTGCCACCAGCAGGAAAAACTGGACTTTATTTTTTTTTTAATGATAATAAAATCCAAATTAACCATTTGAATCTTTATAAGGATCACAAGCTCATGGTAAATATGTGATTGAAAATATGAAATAATAATAATTAATAATACCAATAATAATGTCCCAGTTAATAAATATATCAAAATTGGCTGCAGATTAATTATAATCGTATATAGAATTAAAAACCTTTTTATTTTATGGATCAAATTACTGGTCTAAATAGTAACTCCAAAGTCGTAATAAACATTTAAAACGGGAGATATACATTTAAACAAATCTGCAGAGTTGAGGAGCACGTTTGAGCTAAATTTAAATATAATTTTTTCTTCAAAAATCTAAAATGATTACCTGGCTTTTCTTCAGGCTACATTTTGCCGGTGGTCGGACGTAAGGACCATCTCCTCCTGCTGCTGCTGCGGTCAACAAACAAACAAACGGACACACACACACACAGGCAGGTGCAGGGCGAAAGAGCTGCGCAGAGAAAAGTTGCGTCTGCTCCGCCGTGTCCAGGTGAGCGGCGCGTGGAGCTGCTCGCGGTCAGCTCGCGGACCCCTGGAAGAGAGACGACCGCTGCACACACACACACACACACACACACACACAAACACACACAACTGTTAAAAGAGAGAGAAAAAGCCCGGATTCCGCGGTGCCTGTGGAGGCTCCGTGCCTGCGTCAAAACAGCTGCTGGCTGCTGCTTGTCCTGAGGGCACCAAGGTTTACACACACACACACACACACACACACACACACACACACACACACACACACACAGGCAGACACACACACTCACAGAGAAATATACACACACACGCGACCAAATCATTGCCTGTAAAGTTGCTACAACAACCGAGCCCCGGACCTGCATGTGCTTTAATAAAGTTAAAAATAACCTGTGCAGCTCCAGAGCTTTTTGGCACATCTTCCGATGGGATATCAGCTGCGTCATCTGATGTTTTCTACATCTGCAATTTAAAGAGATTTTCTTTTGGTTTGTTTTTTGTCATCACACATGGCAAACACAAAAATGCGAGAGAAAAAAAAACGCATATAAAAATGCTAAATACTGGTGAGCTATAATAACTCTCACAATCGAGAAAGGAATAACAGATACTAATCGTATTAACCTTAAAATAAAAATACTACCTTGACCCTCGGCACAGTACCTCACCGTGTCCGCCGCTATGTTGGAGAAAAAGCAAGTAGTTGATGTTAAAGAGGTAAAAAATCCAGGACGGTGCTGGCAGGAGCTGAATGGGGCGGGTGGGGGTGTTGGGGTGAGAAGGGGGACGAGAACGTGGGGATGGCATGGGGGGAGGGAGGAGAGGTGAGATGGTGAAGAGAGAGCAGGAGGAGGAGGAAGAGGAGGAGGGGAAGAGATAAGTGATCTAAAGGGGAGACGATAGGACAAAAAAAGTGATGATGATGAATACATTGGAAAGTTTTTTGGCCCCGGCGAGGGTGTCAGATTGAATGGCCTGTGCGCATGTGCGAAGGTGTCCAAACTGACAATGCTGGTGAGATGAAGATAGTGTTGTTGCTGCTTCTGGGCTCACGGAGGACGACGAGAGGAATCTACAAGCCGACAAGATGAGATCCAAGGCGAGGGCGAGAAAACTGGCCAAAAGTAGGTCCTATTTCTTCCCCCCATTCTTACTTTGTTTCAGTCGCCGGCTCCAAACTCCCGGCGTTATAGATGTCCAGCGCGTCCTTGTCATTTGCCATATAGCTTCAACAGAGGATGGGACGACTCTTTGTCCAGGAGAGAAGTTTTCATTTTTAAGAAAAAGTGTTCCCGGCGACTGCGGCTGAGCCTCGTTTCCGTGCGCGTTTCGGCCGGTTCCCACTGTCACAAAGTTTCTCGCGTGATGCGAAAACGCCGCTTGGTGTTTCAGTTTGATCACACTCCTTCTAAAAAAGCGGGGATAAACATCGCCGGGTTTAAATCTCAGCTCGGTCTTGCGTTTTTCCACTTCTTTTTCGGCCACTCGGCGGTTTCGGCTGAGGCGCAGATTCCCCCCTTTTTTCCCCCCCTCCAGAACAAACCAAGAAACTTGTCGAAATGGATAGTAACTTTTTTTTATAGAGCCATTCCAAGTCTTGTGAAATAATATTCCCGGCTTTTGAAATAGTGGGCGCTGTGGCACCGCTCTGCAGAGCAACGAGCTGCGCGCACTCGTTTTCTAACCTGCGAGCGGAGAAACCGAGATAGGAATTTGGAGAGAAAACGCTACTTTAACTTAGGACTTTTTTTTTTCTCAGTGTATCGTGGTCAAACCGAAAAAAGATATCGCTCGCTCCGGAAAAATATGTTTTTTGTCACATGGCCGCCGGACTGCTGCAGACTGGTTCCTCCTCGAGGGAATGCCAATCAATAATGTGTCTTGAAAGCGCATACTGCTTCTTTAGTGGACTGCTGCTCGCGTCACGCCGAAAAAAAAATCATGTATTCAGTTTTTGCTTTTGCGAACATACACTTTGTTGCTTGAAATGGAGTGAGTTTATAGTTTGGCGTTGGTTTATTGTTGGTGCACTGATTCATTTCAGTGGCGTTTGTATCCCTGCATGAATGAACTTTGTTTTCCACGGCCTGTTATGTGGGTCAATCTGCTTTTTTCTTTCTTTTTAAATCCACTATTCATTTGAGAGGCGAATGCTTCACAACACGACGGCCCGTCAAAGCCTGCTATTATTTTTATTTAGTGTGTTGATTTGTTTTATTTTCATGACAACGCTGGCTGTGTAATTAAGTGAACGTGCAGTTTAAAACCCATTTTTTAAAGAGAATTATTTATGTATTTATTTTTTCATGGGGAAATATATAAATATTTTTCAGTATATGCTGTTCTTTTGCATGTTACACATGCTCGATTGCATGTTTACAGGCCTTCCAAATCTGCCACTGGCCTTGTTAATTCAACAGGACTAAACGCTCAAATCTACTTAAAAACAAAGCTACGTCTCAGACTTGCAGAATGAATTAACACTTGCAACTTTTTTTTTTCTCTCAGCAATAAATAAGTGCGTCGATTTTTATTTAAATACTTTCAGTTCTCAAATAATATTTCTAAAACACACCTTATAACCCATGAAAACAAATCAGAAATAAAACCTTTTCTTTTTACCTTTTTTATTTATTTTTATTTTTTATTTTTTAATGACCTTATTTCCCTGCCACATCCCCCGTGACTGGACAGAGAGGAACTTTGCATGCAAGTTTTAAACCCAAAGCGAGAAAACGAAGGAAAAGCAGAAGCCTATCTGGACTGCTTTGTAAAAAAAAAAAAAAAAAAAAAAAAAAAGAAATACTTAAACACGTCGAGGATCCTGCTCGTTGCCAGTAATTGCCCTTGGTCTTGATCTCTAAACAGGCCTGATGGTCTGTTGATCCGGGTGCTAATGAACACAAATACCTGGCTTTGTGCTGCAGCCTCACAGGCCTCACATCAGCCGGCAGGAAAAAAACAAAGCAGAACAGACAAGCAGCCATGAAAAATATCGTGTTCTTTCTAACATTCAAAACACTCAGGCCCACAGATTTTGAATATGACGCGTGGGAGTTCCAACCAACCCCCCCCTCCACCACCCCCTTTTTTTTTCTTCTTTTCTTTTTCTGACGCTAAGGTGAAACTACTCGTTTGAAGCCGAGTGGAGCAGGGCCTCAGCAAATGTGCACCAGCTGCTTTATTATTTTATTTTTAACTCTCGTGTGTAATTTGTTCTCTCGGCGGACTGCACACTCTGACTCCACAGCCACGCAGAGCTGCAGCCTGGACTAACGTGTTTTCACAGACCTGGTCACTAATGTACAGCCGTGGTTTGTTCACGTGCTTTGGGAAAGGGTTTGTTTATGCTGGGATTATTTTTATATTGTCTTGTTTTTATTATTATTTTCATTTAAAGAAAAAGGCCAGTCGTTTTCGTTCTCTTTACACCACAACTACATTAAACCAAGTCATAGAAAAAAATCTAATCAGTTAATTTAGAATTTGAATTGATTTTTAAAAAAAGCATTTTTTTTGCTTTATTCATTCATTTATTTATTACCTTGTGATTTACGAAATCCAGACTGGAACTCGAACGCCACATTAGGCTAAGTGAGGGATTCGACATGTGACTGTGCCTCGTTTTAAGTAAAAATCCAGTCAGTCTGTCTAGCAGAGAGCAAAGAAGCAAACTGACGTTCTAATCTCTTTTGGCACCTGGGAGTGCGTTGCTCAAATTTAAGTCGTATTTGTGTGCGTGTGTGTGTGTGTATGTGTGTGTGTGAGGGGGGGGGGGGTCTTGGCTGTGCTCTGCTGTGGGCTGACGGCGTTTGGAGAAAAACACCTTGCGGCTGTTTTATTGTGGGAATTCCTCTGGGTCCGTTTGTATCTTCTAAATTGGTCGAGGATCAATTAAAGCTTCCGCTTCCACGAGGGCAGATTTATCTTCCCGATGCTTTTCAGTGCACGCGGACGCTGTCCTGCTACGTGGTCAGGCCTGGTGACACTCGTGCGGTGACTTCTGCCCCCAAAAAATAAGAGTTCAAGAGGAAACATTTACAGGAACATTTTCTATTGTGCTATGAAACACGTCTGACGCTACTTGATCGCTGCAATTGCAACCTGAACAATTTCTATACACTTACAAGTCAATTAAAAAAGGCAGCTGAACATCATGTGTTTTTACCACCTGAATTTGTTGTGCTTTATTAATTTATTTCCTTAAACGCTCCCCACCTCCTCCAACTAATCCATTACTAAACGCATGCTCAGGAGTTCAGCTTTCCCCTCCTGCACCCCATTCTTTGTGTCTGAATGTATTCCAGATACCCTTGTGATGTTTGTGTTAAAGGCCCATTATGGTCAACTATCATCAACTTGGCCTGGCTCAATGGTTTCTGATGTTTTGACAGAGTTGATAAAAAACTAACCCAAAATAGTTTAAAAACCAACAATGGTAGCTATGTTTAACTTCAGCCTTAATGGCCACAGCGTCCAAAGTACTGCTGCCATGCAGCTGGAATATGTGGCGCATAAATCCAGTTCACATTCACAGATTATAGCCTGGACCTACACAGGACAGGGTCATCAGAAAGGAAATGCAACGAGAAGAAGGAGGAAGAACATCACTGAACCAGTGTAGATGGGGAGAAAATTCACAGATATCACAGCAAAGCTGTTTCTCTGTTTTATTCCGTCTGTTGCTAACTGGTGAAAGCTCCCGATTAACTTACAAAACATTGACATCTCTTTCACTTTGAATGACATTCCAGTCACTGATGAAACAGAGTGAGACGGGATTCATCTGTGATGACGTGAAGGTTCTGTAGTCTGCACCTGTTGTGCAGCTGCATGTCTGTAAAATCATAATCAGCCTGATAAATATTTGCATGTTGGCCCTTCTGGATTTTGATTGTGTTAATTTAATTTTTTCAACTTTTTAAGATTTTCTACAAACAATTTGAACAATATGTTACCTATGTTACCTGCAGCAATTTGTGAAATCAAGTGTTTTGGTGCACAGATGCCTTTTTAGTTTCTTTTGCATGCTTTTGGTTATTTTGACCCACACATCTTCATTCTTTCAGGAGCTTGTGTCAGTTTTCAAATTACAAATTATTGTCCAGCCTAACTTACACATGGGCACACATTTTTTTCCCCCCAATTTTGCCAGATTGTATATACTGATTTGCTACTAGGTCACTTTGGTTATGATTAGGGCAATGGGTTGAGTCATGGTTACTATATGGTTGATTTCTTCTAAATCTTTTCTGATCTGGTGATCAGTTTATTCGTATAATATAATACAAATATAGTTGTATTTTTTTAATCAGATATTTCTTTGTACTGGAAGAGCAGATTTTTTATTTGTTCATTCAAATATGGATGAACGTGATGTCTGGGGTTGAATTTATTCTCACTTTGTCCTGAACCTTTGTAATAGCTATGGTGTGGAGATAATCTCTATTAGACCTTCCCCTTCTGAAAATGTAAATGCAACAAAAGAGAGTAACTTTGTTTTAATTTACTGGAGCTCCAAAGCTGTTAACAATTAAGATGAGTTGGTTGATGATGATGCTTTTAAAAAAATGATTGTTACTCTAATGCAGCTTTTATGGATGCGTGTTTTGTGTGACGTGAGCAAATTGCGTTATCTCCTCATAGCAGGGAGACAGACAGAGAGATGTTTGTTTTTCATCTTTATCGTCACTTAATCAGTTACAGTTGGAATTGTGCTGCTACTGCTGCTGTTTTTAGCCAGGTGTCCTTTTGAAAAAGGGAAGACTTTAGTTGGTCAAAGTAACATCCAATTGTCTCTAAGACAGAAATCATTTACAAATTGGTTTTAATTAGCAGAGACTCTATTTACGGAATTCTCATGCCATTTTGAAATGTTCCTTATTCAGCTCTTTCATTTTTTCTTGGTGCTTTATTTTTTATCTACGTGACCCATGTGAGTCACTCCCAGATATGATAATATTACTAAATAAACTTCTTTTATTTGCATGATTTCATATTATGCTCTCACATTAAAACCAATTGCAGGGTTTCACTTTTGCATGGAGAAGTCAGAAATGACAGATGCTTGCTTTCAGGTCATTGTTCATATATCAGCAGCATATATGACTCCAGTTGTAGTTGT